CTGTAACAACATTTTGAGATTCCCTGCAGGAAAATGATAACTTCATTTTGTTTCAAGAACAAATTTATGGTTAAGTGATACCTTGAACCTGTCCTTTTTCTATCTCGAAATAAATATAAATTTTAACAAATTACAAAGTACATACATACAGATCCCTGTAATAAATCTTAATGAGGTGATTTCTGTAATACAAACACCCATAGAAAATGTCAGTGTCAGCCCTAATGTACATGTTACTGGTGTATACCAGTGTGGCTGTCTCCTATGTGCTTGAAGGAAAGAAAATCATTTTTCCTAATGGGTTCTCTGGCTCAAAAATGAAAACCAGGCCATTCTATTCTTGATTTCGAGTCCCAACCTTGGACACAGTCTGGTGTTACCAAGGTTCAAAAGGTAAAAGAAACTTCATTCTGGTCAAACTCTGAAAGAAATTTAAACATCAAATTTTAGCTGGGACTGGTTTAACAAGGAAAGTTAAAAAGGAAAGTTTTCCCATTATCACTGAACACTAAACTGGTAAGTATCTGATTTGCTCATATACTTTTGTTAAAATTTTTTTTTTTGGAGGTTTTTGGCCGGGGCTGGGTTTGAACCCACCACCTCTGGCATATGGGGCCGGCACCCTACTCCTTTCAGCCACAGGCACTGCCCTAACAACTAAGAAAATGACATGAAGGCTATGTTAGCCAGCTTGATGAAAATATTTCAAATTGTATATAAAAACAGCACACTGTACCCCATGACTGTATTAATGTACACAGCTATGATTTAATAAAAAAAAAAAAAACCTTTTTAAATGTGCGTCAATCCTTAAATATGATGACATGAGTTCCCACAAACCAGCTAATAAGACACAACGACCCAAGCAGGAGGTTCCACACGTAGGCATTCGATTAACCGCTCATTAGAAAGATCCTGCCCCTGATAAGTACAGTCAGCCTGCAGATTCAAGGGAGCACAGGAATTTTTACTCAATTACTTATGTGCATAGCTGAATTAGCTCTGTTAACAGGTCAGTCTAGAAAAGAAGCCCTAGGAAGTTTTTGGTGGGAAATTCCCTAACCTAAAAAATTCCCGGTCTCAGTGGCATGTAATGATCACCATGTTGAAGCCAGTTCCATCCGTTTTTGCCAAATCAGAGCCATCAAGCTACTAATGCCACAGGGCTGTAAAACAATGGACCCTTCCTGCTCAGTCTACCTGGAGGACAGAAATGAACTCCGCCCTCGTCTCTACTGCCTTCAGCACCGCGGAGTCCCGGGCCTCTTGATCTGCTAGTGGAAGGTTTGGGTGAAGAGATGACTTCCCCCGGGACACTGAGATGTTGATCTCCACAGAGAGGGGTCCACAAGCTACAGCTTTCAATCTACAAAGTTCTTCGGGTTCAGAAAGCTGGTTAAACAAAGGTCAAGGAGAGAAGAGTGTTAGTTTCTGAGGAGGCAACATCCTAATCCTTTCAGTTCCCTAAAAAAAAAAAAACAGGGGGAAACAGGTGTGGTTGAGGATGCAGGCTATCACGGGGATGTCCCCAACAATGACCTACAACGTGCTACCACGACCTTCCACCTGATCTGTAGTTCACAGAAAAGTGGTCAGTTGAGGTAAGGTGGGGTTTACTTTAATGTTACTTAGAAAGGGACTAAGTCACCGAATGCAGGGGTCAGCAAATTTTCTGCAAAGGGCCAGATAAAAAATATTTTAGGCTTGCTGAGTTATGTGGCCTCTGCAGTAATTACCCAGACCCTGCAGGTAACATACAAACAACTGCAGACAATATAGGAATAAATGGGCAAGGCTGTGTCCCAGTAAAGTTGTATTGGGTCAGATTTAGCCCAGGGACCATAGTTTGCCCACCTCCACTCTAGACAGCTGAGGCCAGTCCACAGTGGGAAAATCTACTTACAAACCTTGGCTATAAAAACAAGGGTCTTGTGAACCCCCTAATGCTTTCTTCTAACCGTTCCCCTCAAACATTTCCTTTTATCTTCCAGAATCACCCTGATCGTTTTGAGACGAATTAAGGAAGAATCCTTCCAGTTGCCTGTCTACTATCAAACCTCAAAAATTCATGGTACGGCCCTGTCTCACAGGCAGGGGAAGGAGGATGGCGAGACCAGGTCTGCTCAGAGGTCACGTCAAAGGAGGCAGGACCCCAGGACAGCCTGGAGCCTGCCAAGGAAGAGATGTCCCCTTCCACATCAGAGAGGTCCTCACTGGTGGTGGCTCTGACAAAGCAGATTTTTGTTTAAAAAAAAAAAAAAAGAAAAGAAAAAAGGAACTACTGGAAATCAGCTGTCGTGAGCCTAATTAGGAATCTGTGCTTTGATTGTGGAGTCACCACTCAAAATAAATACTGATGTGTTTTGTTCCAGCCCAGTCTGCTTCAAAAGGAACTACATTCACAAGATTTAACAGTTTGTATACAGGAAACGAGCTCCCCTGAGCGGCCGAAGGGAACACCGACACCAATAAAGCTTTAATAGACGATGACTCTTGAATGCCCCAGAAGTCTTGGAAATGAAGATGCCACACTCACTCAGCATTCAGCTGTTTCACTGGAGATAGGCAGAAGTAGAGCAGAGATAGTGACGTCTAAATCGGCACGTTCTGTACCTCAGTCGAAGGAAGCCACAGCCCACTGGGGCAAGGAGACTTTCTAACGCAAGCCACGCAGGACACAGTAATAAAAGCTGATGTAGCAAAGCCACGTGCCTGCCTCTTCCCTTCCATAAGCCTGACACCACTGCTGCAGACGGAAAGCGATTTGATTGCCTGGGATTTGCAGGAAGATGTTATTTGAAAATTCCAAATAAAATCTCCAGCACTTGCCTAGATTCATGCTTCCCCAGAGTAGAGGAGAACGGTGGTGGTGGGAAAGGCAAGTTTGGAGGGAAGGCTGGGGCTGGAGAAAGAGCCAGGGCTTAGATAGGAAACCCTGGTCCCCCCTAAGACAGGGGTTCTCAACCTTCCTAATGCCGTGACCCTTTAATACAGTTCCTCACGTTGTGGTGACCCCCAACCATAAAATTCATCAAGTAGCAACAGAAATAATTTTATGGTTATAAAATTACCACAACGTGAGGAAGTGTATCAAAGGATCACGGCATCAGGAAGGTTGAGAAGCGCTGCCCTGAGACATCCCACCGTATCTGTGCTGCCCTAAGCATTAATGATTTGCCATAGCACCTGAGTAGACCACACACACCTCCTGCAGTGTCTGCAAAATGAGTGATGGACCTCAGGGAGGAAGAGTCTCAGGGGACAGAGGGAGCTGTGAAGAGACACCAAGATTTCAGCTTTACCCGCCCAAAGTTTGAGCGCCATTTGGATCGACAGCACGTGTATCCTCAATACTCCAGAATCTCCTTCCATCTTCCCATCACGAGTGAATATCTAACCAGACACGGCCCTTCTTATATCCTGAACCAACCTTCTTGGTCCTCGCTTATAATATCATAGGCCTTCGCGTTGCAAATTTTGGAAAAAGCACCAGCTATACTCAAGTCTGCTATCTAGTGTCAGATGGAGCAGTTTGAATACTTAACACAGAAACTATTAGCAATCACGTATCTTACTACGTAAAGAACAGTCTAGCTGGAAGATTAAGAGAATGAGATGTCTTAGCTAATTCTCTGATTAACTGAATGATAAATAAAAAGATATATTTTTCTTAAGTCCTTAAAGCTTTATCTTTTTCTTATTCTACAACATATTGGTTCACCCGTCCACCATAACAGTAGTCAGTACAACCCACACCACATACTGTTTCTTGGATTGAAGATCCAGTCATTATTTTAGTATCATGTCATCAGTCTGGACATCAGGGATGATTATATGAAATTTACTCCTATTCGGAAGTTCAAAAAAATGAACTGAACATTCGGAGCCCAGGATGAAGTATGAGAGTTAATTTTAAATAAATAATTTGCTTCCAATTAAAAAAAAAAATCCACTTGCTTCTGTACTAAGGTAAAGTACACAAGCATGGTAAAAAAAATTTGCCCTCAGATTAGAAGCCTTTTGGGTTTGAGATTCAGTAACACACAGTCTCTGCTTGCCCGGATGACACTGGAGCAGGAGGCAGGAGGCTCAAGGAAGAGTTAGATAAAATTAAGACAGAGAAAGGAGAGACTGGAGGAGAGAAAAGCTTGTGAGAGAGGAGGCCAACAGGGGAGCGAGGTGGGGGCTGGAGGATAAAAAGACAGCAAGAAGTTGCCAAAAGGCAGCCAAGTACAATTCTGTTTTGTTTTTATCTTCAAACAAATCTAAGGATGCATGTCCTCACTCAAGGCAGTTGGTTCTTACTGATTCAGATATTCATGGAAAGGGGCCAAGACAAGATGATAAACTCAGAGGAAGAGTTATGGTGCAAGGATGTGCTGGGCTCCTGTGGAACAGCCCATGATACTGAGGAAGGGAGGCCCTCAAGCCACCTGTCTCATGACAGTCACTGGGGCTATGTGATGGCAATGAGGAGAGTTAATTTAGAGGTTAAGACAGGAACAAACTCTCCAATTATATAAACAAAATAAGATCCTGTTTCCAAAAGAAAATGAGACGCTCGGTAACCACCTGAAGCCTGCAGTATCTTTTGTGCCAAAGTCATAATGCCTTGTTGTTCCCCATATTCTATTACCAAGTTTCGTTTGAATAACCCAGGTCACTGGAATATCTCCATCCACCACAGGCCAGGCCAAAAACTCTGAAGACAGAGCCTGTTGTCCCTAAACCCTGAATACCCAAAGAGCCACCATCTTTTGCTGAGTGTTCCCCTTTCTGCGACTTCAAAGTGGGTCCCTAGACAGCCTTCTGTGACAATGCTGGGATTTAAGAAGAGGTCACGAGTTTAATGAAACGACAGCTGAAAATCAGGCTGAACATTATTTTAAGGTAGAGAGCCAATCAGACAAAATCCCACTGTGGTCAGATTTCAGGGGACTTCATTGCAGCAGTGACAATACATAAATCAAGAAGTAAACCAGACTAAGTTAACAGCCTACCTATTCCCGAGTTGGCACCGGTGACCACGACCACCTTGCCGGTGAAATCCCGGCCCTGGAGGATCTCCATGGCCGTGGTGCTGCCATCATATCTCTGCCGGGTGGGCGGCTTGGTCGGATTGTCATCCACAGTGAACGCCAGCCTTGGATCCAGGTAGGTAGTTCTTTTATTTATATGACTGCACAGAAGAGGGGGAAACGGTGAGCACAGGCATTTATAACCATCATCTTAGAGTCTTTCATATACCAAAAGGCTTGCTCTTAAGCCTGAAAGAACAGGGGCCCGTTTAATCTGTACCTTCTAGACTCCAGAAGATTACATTCCCACCTGGAAAGATAGTCACTGGATCCTTTCCTTCAGACCTGCCTGTAAAATTCTCGGCAACAGGCCATGTGTGGTGGCTCACGCCTGTAATCCCAGCACTCTGGGAGGCTGAGGCTGGTGGATTGCTTGAGGTCACAAGTTTGAGACCAGCCTGAACAAAAGCAAGACCCCTATCTCTACTAAAAATAGAAAAACTGAGGCAAGAGGATTGCTTGAGCCTGAGTTGGAGGTTGCATGCCATGGCACTCCACCCAGGATGACAGCTTGAGATTCTGTCTCAAAAAAAAAAAAAATTTTGCTGTAACACACAGTAACTACTGCCTTATATCCTTAGATCTCAAAAAAGGCTTCCTGAAGAGGTTTTTAAAATTCATGTCAATATGGCTGTAAGATCAGTCGCTCTTTTCCATAGATTTCAGTTAAATCTCTTAGCCCTCTGTTGGAGTTAAAGATTGGCAGAGAAGTAGGAAACTCAAAATGATAAAAGTTTTTTTTTTGGTCTTTTTTTTTTTTTTTTTGAGACAGAGCCTCAAGCTGTCGCCCTGGGTAGAGTGCCGTGGCATCACAGCTCACAGCAACCTCCAACTCTTAGGCTCAAGCAAGTCTCCTGCCTCAGCCTCCCAGGTAGCTAGGACCACAGGCACCCGCCACAATGCCCGGCTATTTTTCAGTTGCAGTCGTCATTGCTGTTTGGCAGCCTGGGCTGGATTCGAACACGCTACCTTAGGTGTGTGTTAGCCACTTGAGCCACAGGTGCCGAGCCGAAAGTTTTAATAGTAAACACAAAACTAGCCAAGTAAAAAATTATAACGATTTTGATTTTAGCATTGTACTCAAACCTCATAGTACCTTAACTTGATTTGGAGTTGATCTAAATCTTATAGAAACAATTTTAAAACACATTGGCACATATGGATTTAAAGATTACTCCTTATAATAGAATTTTTTTACGTTTTAAATGTACTTTTGGAATTTGAGATAAAGACCTCAAAATATTTTTAAAAGCTATTAATAACCCTCCAGAAATAGATGAGATTTCATACTTGTATTTCAGGCTAATGTGAGGGTGCAAACAACTAGTTTACAGTACTTGCACACATCAGGTAGGGTCCCTCCTGTAGTTGTGTCCCACACCCAGAGGTGTGTCATATACCCTTACATTATGCCCATGAGATTTCTTAATTTTAAAGGTATTCATAATATGTATACAAAATTATATGGTTGAAAATCTATACCCATCACCCAATAAATACTAAGACCCAAGAATAATCCAACCTTTGTGTCTTTACATCCACTGCCAGCCAGACGTGCTGAATGACCCCAGTATTATACACCAGCAGTTCTCAGCCTATGGGTCGTGACCCCTTTTTAATAATGAAAATACATTGCGGCATTAGGAAGGTTGAGAACCAGTGTTATACCCCAACAGAGCAGTGCTGCACTGGAGCTGCTCACAAGAGCCAAATGTGCCTATCTCTTCCCAACTCCTCAGTGACTTCAGCTGGGTGGCTTGAAATTGGCTATGGTGAGAGTATTTACACCACAGAAACAAATATAGGGTTTTTTCCCCTAAAGAGCTACCAGTAAACATTTACCAGCACACCGCTACAACAGGATCAGAGAAGTGAGGTGAGAACAGGGGCATCAAGCTAGCCTCCAAAGACCCTGCTTATTCCTCGTGATTAAGACCAGGGTTGGCTGAATCTGGCCCACTGCCTGCTTTTGTAAATAAAGTTTTATTGGAACACAGCAACGCCATCATTAATATTCTGTGTACAGCTGCTGAAGCACCACACTGGCAGAGTTGAATGAATGCAACTGAAACCACACAGCTGGAGACACCTAAAATATATTCTCTGGCCCTTTCCAAATAAAAGTTGGCAGCCCTTGGTCTAGAGCAGAGAGATGGCTCTCAAACCAATCTCCTAGAGGGCTTAGGGCCTAAGAATGTATATTTCTTTTCTTTTCTTTGACATAGAGTATCTGTTGTCCAAGTTAGAAGGGTGTCACCAAGGCTCACTACAAACTCCTAGGCTCAAGCAATCTTCCTGCCTGAGCCTCCCCCGGAGCAGGACCTATAGGCACATGCCACCATACCGGCTAATTTTTCCTATTTTTAGTATAGAAAGTGTCTTGCATTTACTTAGGCTGGTCTTGAGCTCCTGAGCTCAAGGGATCCTCCTGCCTAGCCCTCCTAGAGTTCCAGGATTACAGGTGTGAGCCACCACGCCTGGCCCAGAATGTATATTTCTAATAAATTCCCAAGTGATGCTGATGCTGCTGGTCTGGGAGCCATACTTGGAATCCACTGCTCTGGGATGATGACGATTATTTTAGGGGAAGAACCTGCCAGGCATGAACCCAAACGCAAAGCCTGCAAGGGAAAAAGGGATGTGACCACACAAAAATGCAAGGAACTCTACGGTTGATTTTTTTTTTTTTAATCAACTATAAAATTTCTTAAAAGTTGTTTTACGGATCAGGGGGAAAAGGCCTTTTACAAACTAACGGGCAACAACCTATACAGCTGCCACATAGCCAGGTCCTCCTGGGGCTGCCCCAGAGGCCTGGCACACTCTTCTCAGGCAAGCCCCAGCCCATTTGCCCCAGTATTACACATGCACCCAGAGTTTGCTGTTTGTTCAAAAACCACCTGTGCCATTTGAACTTGTTACTGCAACTACGTTGGCAGCAAGTGAGGTGAAAATAAAGCGTCACTGTATCTATGAACATTTGCTGAATGTTTTATAAGCCTCGAAGAAAAGTAACTAGAAAAAAAGTTTAGGTTCAATCAAGCACAGTGAAAATGACGGAAAAACACTGTAAGACTCCCAAGAGATGTAGCATTCAGATGTTTGGAAAATATAAGTTTTTGCTGAATGCTAAGGAAAGTGAAAGCAGAAATGGCAGGCGCCTTGTTGCCTGTGCGCTGGGACGGCCCACTCACCCAGAAAGCAGGCCTGGCCCAACCCCGGGAAGCCTAGGATGTACTAGAACCAAATGTTAAAAATGTTCACGTTACAGATGTAACAGCTTAAGAAAAATCACGCCTGCTTACATCAACTCCTACTAACTGATCAGTCCTAATCCCTTTAAATGTGCAATCTTCTGATGTACATGTGGGTAACTGTGAAACATTCTTAGCTACGTGGAGCAGGTGTGAGGCTCAGATCCCGGCTCCACCACTCGCTTGCGGCGAGATCCTTAACAAGACACTCGTGGTCTGTGTCATCAGCAGTGAGCCAGAGATACTAACAGTGACACCTCTCGGGGCATCGTGGAGACGGAAAGCGCTAACACTACAGATAGAAAGTGATTAGAATCTCGCCTGGCGCATGCTATGTGCTGGGCAGGTGCTTACTGCGGCTATTTAACACTGGAATTTATTCTAGAGGCAGAATCAGAGATGTGAAAAGGTTTTACAGATAAAGACGCTCAAGGCTTTACTTATAATTATAGATTATAATCCCTGATCCCTGATAATAAAAATTTAACATCAATGCCCAATAGGCAATTCAATAAATTACAGTATATCTATGCAAAATAATACTTTACAGCAGTGATTTTCAACCTATGCATCATGGCACACTGGTTGCCATGAAAGGACCTTAGATGTGCCATAAAATTTTTTTTAAATCATTAAATTATTTTCAAAAGAAATTCAAAGCACAGCAAGTGTATTCTTCTTCTTACTCGTTTTTTTTTGTTTGTTTTAATTTAAGCATGCCGAGGGAATTTAACTATAGGTTCAAGTGTTCATTGAGATTAAAAAAGGCTGAAAAACACTCCTCTATGGCCACTAAGTATCACCTTTAAAAACACCTTTAAGGACATGAGTACATGGTCATATTATGTGGAAAAATCAGGTTACTAAACAGTTCACAATGCATTTCCTGCTTTTTTAATAAAAAGTATATGCACAGAAAACACAATAAACCCCCAAATTGTTAAAAGTAGTTATTTCTGCTAACAAGATTACAGGTATATACGACTTTAAATTTTTCTACAATGTGTATTACTTTTGTAATGAAAAAGATTCTATTAAAAAGATGGAGGGGCTCGGCGCCTATAGCTCAACCGGCTAAGGCGCCAGCCACGTACACCGAAGGTGGCGGGTTCGAATCCCCAGCCTGGACCCGCCAAACAACAATGATGGCTGCAACCAAAAAATAGCCGGGCGTTGTGGCAGGCGCCTGTGGTCCCAGCTACTTGGGAGGCGGAGGCAGGAGACTCGCTTGAGCCCAGGAGTTGGAGGTTGCTGTGAGCTGTAATGCCACGGCACTCTACCCAGGGGGACAGCTTGAGGCTCTGTCTCAAAAAAAAAAAAAAAAAAAAAGATGGAGGAGGGTAGTTTCTACGTAGACACTTACTCAACAAAAAACACTTGTCCGTTCTCATCGGTCTCTTGTTCCCATCCGTAGGGCAAATCTGAAACACAAGACAGAGTGACAGGGCACCATGTGCCAGGGTGAAGCCCCACCCCTGGTCGGGAAGGAGAGGCCACACAGCCTCCCAACCAACAGCTGTCCCTTCAGCTGCAAGGGTCACGTGTTCCAACTGTGGCAGATACACAAGGCCCGTTACCCCAAGTGGACTCCATATTTCTGCCTGTTGCTCTAAAGAAAATCTACTTTCCCCTTAACCACTCTATGAACCTCACTGCTGACTCTAGTCGATGTGAATTCTCCCTTGAATGAACTCCTGGAACACGTCCACATATACAGGAGGCGCCCAACATCACTGGCACGCTGACCTGAGAGGCCTCAGACAGTATTACAATATTACACTTCCATTTTTATTTTTTCATGAGTACGTGTTGTCCCTTCCACTGGACCCTGACTTCCTAAGGGCAGGGACCTTCTGATACTTCTGTTCTAAGGATCACACACTTGCTCAGAAGCACTAGCAGTTGTGCAATCTTTATGAATTCCAGCAAACACAGATGTATTTGATTGCATCGTATAAACCAAGAACAATTTTAGAAACGGTGCAAATATAGGAAAGCCTAATAAAATGTACATCAAAGGCCCCGATTATTTTGATACTTTTTTGTTTAAGATCAATAAGAAATCATCCTCCCTCCACCCCACGATCTCATCACCTTCCTCGGCCAAATCCCAGAAGTTCCTCGGCCAAACAGTTCAGACCTTGGACGGGTTCTCTGCTGCACAGCCCTCCCAGAAGACCCAGTACCTGTCACCTCACTGCCTGTGACATTTCCACGATCTAAATCAAGCTCCAAACACAAGATGCTTTGCTTTATGACAACGCCATACGAACCTCCTGCCACTCGCTTTCTTTTTCCTGTTTTCGGATGTTCCCATTGAGTCTTCTCCTCAGCATGGCTGTTAAAAAAGAAAATAAAAAAAATAAATAGTAAGTAAATACTAACACTGCTAAAGAGTAATCAATTATATTTAATTTTTTTCTCTCCCAGATAAAACTGTCTCTCAAGAGGAATAAAAACAAGTATGTAAGAAAGGAAATATCAGAACATAAATTTGACTGTTTGCAGCAGGTCAAATTCCCCAGGTGAGAAGCAGCAGCGATCCCATGGAAAGTTCCCAACTGGCTTTGTAAGCTGGGTATAGAGGGGTTGGGGAGAGAGGAGGATGACAAGGGGGATCCAGACTATGAGGTCAACTTTAGGAAGCTGGCTAAATCACTCAAAATACCTAGAGATGGCAGTTTTTATTTGTTTTAGTTTTATTCTAGGAAATAGTGACAAAATTCATCATGTCTAATTTGTAAGGGTGATATTCAAATATAATTTAGGTAACATAATCTTCTTAAAAAGACTTGTTTAAAGAAAAGGGGTCTTGCTATGTTGCACAGGCTGGCCTCGAACCCCTGGGCTTCAATGATCCTCCTGCCTCAGCCTCCCAAGTAGCTGACTACAGGTGCGCACCTCCCAGCCTGGCTAAAATGTTCATTCTCTCCACAGAGGGAGCTTCAGAGTGTTTCAGTTCGTCACTGATTCCTAAGAAAGAAGGCAGAAAGCCAGCCCCATAGGGCATCTAGCTGTGCACCTTCGGTCAAGTCCCTCAACCTCTTGGCCTTCATTTTGTCCTCTGCAGAACGCAGACTGCTGAGCTTGAGGGCTGCTATGGGGGCGCTGTATATAAAAGACTTCACACAGTACCTGGCACACGGAAAGCCCTTGCAAAATGCACGCATTCCTGCATCTTCTGCAAAAATCAATTATATCAACTAGTCTGATTTCTGCCTCAAACTTGGTGTTTTATCTAAGGACAATCCCCAAAGTTATAATTCAAATATTGGGTCAATAAGCAGAAACATCTATCATTGGATGGTAAGATATCCGGGAAAATAGACAATTAATTAATCAGGGAAAGAGTCAGATGTGCAAGAGGATTTCATAGAGTAGTTTATTGTTTTTGCTTTTTTTTTTCCATAGGGTAGTTTGGATTTCCTAAAAGTTCACATACTCATGTCAAAATGGAAAGTAATACTATTTAATGTAAAAGATAAGATTTGAACATTCCTTTAAAGAAATACAGACAACATGAATTATCTATAAAATTTTGTAAGGGGCTAAAGGCCAAGCACGTGGCCCATAGCTGTAATCCTCATACTCTGGGAGGCCAAGGCAGGTGGATCAACTGAGCTCTGAGACCAGCCTGAGCAAAAGCAAGACCCTGTCTCTACCAAAAACAGAAAAAATAGCCAGGCATTGCAATGGGTGCCTGGAGTCCCAGCTACTCAGGAGTCTGAAGCAAGAGGATCTCTTGAGCCCAAGAGTTTGAGGTTGCTGTGAGCTGTGACATCAGAGCATTCTACCAAGGGCGACAAAGTGAGACTGTCTCAAAAAAAAAAAAAAAATTGCAGGTCACAGTTAAAGTCTCTTCATGAACTACTGGCTTCCGGTGTGTTTTAACAGGCTCTTAAGGGCTGGGCCTCTGCCATTGATCAGGGGTGCTGGACACAGGCAGGACACCTGAGCTGCCCAGGAGAGCTGCCTTCAGCCAGCCCATCTCCCTGGTGCTAAGTCAGCTCACAGAGCTGCCAGAAAGGTGAGACACCGACACCTGTGACAACCTAGAGAACCATTAAATCCTTGTACCGGCTTGAGTATCAGCAGCAAAGACAAACTCCCACTCTGCGTATCAACCACCATCAAGCACTTGCCAAAGGGAAGCTCTGACTCCCTGGGAAGGATGACCCACCCTTCACAGACACAAGGGCAAAGTCAGTATCCCAACTCCCGCTCGTCTCATAGACCCAGGGGACAGCAAGCAGGTGAGCCAGCTTTGGCTTATGCTCCAAGTTCATCTGCTGTGTGCCTGTGAGATGAAGACTTGGGACTTCTGGTGTTGGCCCAGGGAAAGTCTCTTCCCTTCCTTGAAGGAGCACCAGGTGTGGCCCAGCAGGGAGCATAAGCCCATAAAAATCTGCCCTCAAGAATCCATGAAGGGACCCCTACAAGTGGAACACTGAGCCTCGGTGGCAGGGAGGCTGGCAGTAAAGAACATCCCAGACCCTCAGTAGGTCAGGCTGGGCCCCCAGACGCCCAGCCCCAAGCCTGGCCCACTGTAGGGATGCCTATGCAAATATACAGAATAAACACTTTCCAAGGGACCTATAAAATGCAGAGCATTTGTTTTACTCCATCACGAAAGGTATTTATTTATTTTTACTTTATTTATTTATTTTTTTGAGACAGAGTCTCACTCTGTCATCCTGGGTAGAGTGTTATGCTGTCATAGCTCACAGCAACCTCAAACTCTTGGGCTCAAAGGGTACCTCCTGGATCAGCCTTCCAAGTAGCTGGGACTACAGGCACCTGCCATAATGCCTGGCTAGGTATCTATTTTTGGTAGAGACGGGATTTTGCTCTTGCTTAGGCTGGTCTCAAAGTCCTAAGCTCAGGTGATCCACCTGCCTAGGCCTCCCCAAGAACTAGGATTCTGTAATCCTAGCCACCGAACCCAGCCCATCACGAAAGACATTTAAAAACCAAAACCACCCCTGTCGACCTACATTCGTGACTTTGAAAGAACTTGCCTAGAGTTTCTCACATTCATCTGGGGCCTGGGTAACTGTTTGCTGTCCTGTGCATGCCTGGCCCTACCTGCTAGGTGCCCAATACACCTGTCCCCACAGCTGACCACTGAAAGCATCTCCAAGGCCCTGGGGTCCACGCCTGGAATCCCACCACTTTAGGAGGCCAAGGCAGGAGGATCACTGGAGTCCAGGAGTCCAAGACCAGCTGGGTGAACACAGCTAAACCCCATCTCTTTAAAAAAAAAGAGAGAGCATCTCCACTGCCAACTGCCCCCCCAACAGAACACAGTCGTCCCTGGGGAAGAACCCAGACTTAAGTGAAGTGAAGAGGGAGTGATTTAGTAGTGAGGATTCCAGAACCCAACTGCCTGAGTTTTCTGGCTCTCCCACTCACCATCTGCCCTAGGAGAAGCTGTGAAGCCTCCCTATTCCTCAGTTCCCTCATCACTGAGCTGGGGACAGTGATGGCACCTGCTTCGGGGGGTTACAGAGGACTGAATGAGTTAACATGGGAAGAACTAGGGACTGTGTCTTTCCATGGAAAGTATCATTTTAGGCCGAGGTGGGTGGACTGCCTAAAAGGACTCTGCGAGACGTGCTTGGGGCTCTCCCTGCACCTGTGGGAAGCCTACCTCTTGCAGCTTGTACTCTCAGTCCGCGTCTCACGTGATCATTTATGCGGAAGCGATGCAGGAGTTCAAGACCAGCCTGAGCAAAAGCGAGACCCTGTCTCTAAAAATAACCGGGCGTTGTGGAAGGCAATTATACCCCCAGCTACCAGGGAGACTGAGGCAAGACAATCACTTGAGACCAAGTTGGAGGTTGCTGTGAGCTATGATGCCACAGCACTCTATCCAGGGTGACAGTTTGAGACTCTATCTCAAAAAAAAAAAAGTATTATTTTAATACTTATATATAAAATTTAATTAAAAGGTATTCTTTTTAATTATAACCTTGAAGGGAAAGTTATGGAACATGTCCCCACAGTGTTACCTTATTTTCCCTTAAATAAAAGCCCTCTTTTTTTTCTTTTCAATAAGCTTGTCATCTAAAGAGATAACTAACAGTACTCTGACCTTGAACCAAAGGGATCAAAATAAAGTTTACACGTTACATCAGTGATTTTCAACTGCTGGGCCACGAGAGGAACTTGGGCGTGCCTCGAAAATTTTTAAAGATAATTAATTAAATAATTTTGGAAAGAAGCTCAAGGCACAGTAAGTATATTTTCTTTTGCTTTTTTTTGATCAACATAATTTAAGTGTGCCATGAAATTGAACTATTCAAGTCTGCTATAAGATACAAAAAGGTTGAAAAACACTGCATTATATCTTTCAAAGTTGTTTTGTTTTAAAGCATAGTTGAAGTTACCAGGGAGCTCTAAAGCCCACTGTGAGGACAGCCAGCTCTGTGGTCCAGGAACCTTCTCCTGACAAGGCAAGGCTGGCCAAACCTGTGGCTTCACAAGAAAAAGGGGACAGTAGAGAATGACCCAGGAAGATCTTGTCTCTCTGACCCCATCTCCCAGGTAGGGTCTGCTCTGGGACTATTGGCAAAGTGGGCAGTAGAAAGGCCACCAGCTCTCTCCACCTGCGAGTCTGTCCTTAGTTGTGGGACATCCTTAAACCCTCCCACCCATATCTTCCCTTGGGAGCCCTAAGACAGATGTGCCTTTGAGGCCTATGAGAGCACTGTGGGGCTCGCAGCATCCACAGAGACAGGGCTTAGGCTCTGAACCCCCAAGACTGAACTTGGTCATGGCCCTGCCTCAGTGCAAGGAAGACCATTTAGAAGAAAAAAGAACACCTCAAAGGGAAGTCTCCTGAGAACCTATTAGCAAAGTTTCCCACACCCCAAGAGGATGACAAGTGTGGCTTCCAGAGTTAGGAGGGATAAGAAGGGCCAGGATACTGACTGGTCAGGTGAGATCAAAGGATCCAGGGTTAGGACAGGTCAGAGGCATCCTGCAGCACCTAGGGCCAGGAGGGCTGGAGAGGGGTCAGGAGAGATATGGATGGAGTAAATGGTGGGGCCAGAGAGGCCAATGTGAGACCTGAGTGAGACTGGGCAAGGGCTTTCAGACACCAGATATGCACCAGAGTCTCCTGGCCATGGCCACCGAGGAGGGAAGCAGATGGGAAAGGCCCAGCAATGCAAGGCCAGGGCACTTTCAGGCACTGGTGCAGGCCCCAGAGTAGGCCTGGGGGTGACCAGCCAGGCAGGGAGATGGGAGCAGCAGAGAGGGAGTGCAGAAAGCCAAAAAGCAGGGACCCTCAGCTGACCTGCACCAGGTGAGTTAATTTACTCATTCTACATGCATTTACTGGACAGCTCGTGGGTGCTCAACAGAGGGGCTACCAGGTGAACAAGCTGCCCTCACATAGTTTACAATCTAGGGAAGGAAGACAGAAGAGGAAGAATATTGACAAGATCCCTACATCACTAAGTTCCAAGAAGCATAGCAAGGTGATGGGTACAGGGGTGAGGCACCCATAGCCGGGGGAGGTCTGCTGGGCAGAGACAGCTCAGCTCAGCTCTGATGGGAAGGAGCCCTTCATGTCCAGGTCTCCAGGCAGCAGGAACAGCAGGTGCCAGCTCCTGTTTCCGGACCCCTGCAACAGCCTACTGGCTCCCTACTGCTCCAACTGTCCCTGTGATTCTCTAAAACCAGAAATCCTTTCTAAACACACAAACCCAATGCTACTCCCTGGCATGAAACCTTCAGGGGACCCCCTCTGGGCAGGCCCCCACTCCTTTGAAAGGCACAAAAGGGCCTCCATGAACTGGGTCCTTCCTCCCCTGTGGCCCACACAGACCACAGGTCCATGGACAGGACAGGCCCGGGGTCTCTACTGTCACTGTCCCCTCTGTGGGATTCACTCCTGCCCCACCTATCTCTTCTTGTATTCTGGACACAGCTGAGGTTCTCACTCCCCCAGGTCACCTCCCAAAGACACCCTACCTACCCACACATACCTCCTACCAGAATGTCTGACTAAGTGTTGCTCTGCCCTGTAAGATTGGCTACTTATTAAGGATGACCACTGGGTCTTACCTGTGTCGGGATTACCAGTGCCCAGCAAAGGGCCTAACATATCTGTGTGTCTTAAATGAATGAACTCACTTGAGTTTTTATTTTTCTATTTTTCTTTCTACCTGTCTACCAAAGACAGCAGTGGTTCACAACCACCTCCAGTAGATGACAGTCCCATAGGAAGATTTTACAATCTACCACTAGGGAGGAGGAGAAGGTCCAAATCAATTAAATCAAAATCTCTGAAGTGAGGCCCAGGAAAAACTAGTTTTAAAGTTTTCCAAGGGTTGAAAATCACTGATTGATGACCAAGTTCTACAAAGCCAGGGGGATAATCCACCTCACCCGGAAAGCTTAAAAAACACTGATTCCCCCCCAAGTGGAGAGTTTGCTGAAATATGTTCTCTATGGAGACCCAAAATCTATACTTAAGACACCTCCACAGGTGATCTTAAGGTGCTGATCTAAGGGGCAATGTCACAGCTAAAGAGCCACAAGAAGAAAAGTTAATGAACAGAGAGTATCAGAGCCTGTGCTGTGTGCTTTATGCAGTGACTGAACTAACTCACATCAACCCATTTTTACAGATGAGAAAATTGAGATTAAATGTCCTTTCAATGGCCCAAGTTCACACAGCGATGGAGTAAAGCTCTTTCACGTTTCTAAAACTTTCTCAGGAGAAGGCAGTAAAGCTATCTAGTTGTTAAAAAATGCACACTCCAAGACCCCCAACCCAGATTCTCGAGGAGGGAGCTGGACACCTGCACTTTATTTTCAAAGTAACTTTTTTATTTCAGATTAATATGAGGATACAAACAATTAGGTTACAATGTTTACGTTCGTCAGGTAAGATCCCTGTTGCAGTTGTGCCCCTGTGGCCAGATTAACTAGAAATAGAAAAGTGAGATCACTAATAACCTCCATCAGAAATGAAAATGGGAGCTCCGTGGCTCAAGCGGCTAAGGCACCAGCCACATACACCTAAGGTGGCGGGTTCGAATCCCCAGCCCGGCCCGCCAAACAACAATGACGGCTGCAACCAAAAAATGGCCAGGCGTTGTGGCGGGCGCCTGTGGTCCCAGCTACTTGGGAGGGGGAGGCAGGAGACTCGCTGGAGCCCAGGAGTTGGAGGTTGCTGTGAGCTGTGATGCCACGGCACTCTACCCAGGGTGACAACTTGAGGCTCTGTCTCAAAAAAAAAAAAAAAAGAAAAGAAAAGAAAAGAAATGAAAACGGGCAAATAACAGATACCACTGAGATGCATCTCTGACTACTACGGACAACACCTGCAGTTTTTAAGTTTTCGTTATCTTTCTTGCGGGAGAAGGGGTTAGACCGGTTTGCCATCGCTGCACCGCGCAGTGCCGCCTCCTGAACAGCAGAGAGCGCGCCTGGACGCCGCCAGGTAACCCCTGCACCACAAAGGGGGACGGCCCCTGAGGGGAGCGGGAACGACCCTCGAGCCGTCCGCCTGGAACTCTTTATCAATCACGTCCACTTCGCGCCGCTCTCGCCGCGCTGCAGCGCGGGCCCGCGCGCCCCCTCCCCGCGCAGGTGGCGCTTGAGGGCAGCGCAGAGTCCCAGGTGTGTCCCAGGCCCGGCGGCCCCCTTACTTGGCATAGTAAACCCAGCCGTCCTTGGTGGTTCTCTCCTCCCAGCCTGGGGGCAGCTCGTCCTCACTGTCCGTGTCGTCCAGGCCCGCGTAGCGAAGGGCTGCCATGGCAGTGAGGCAAGAGGTTCAGCCGCCTGGTCGCCCGCTGCCGGGTCTCCTCTGACAGGAACGAACTCCCGCTACAACCCAGCGCCGCGCGCACCAGGGGCCCGACCGCTCGCGCCTGCGCACTGCGCCGTTCTGCCGCTCGCGCAGCTGCGATCCGGTCTCCGGTATTTTGCAGCTACCAGCGCAAAAGGGGCGGGACCTGGAGGCAAAGGCTGTGAAAGCGCCGAGGAGCTGGCGCCACCGCTCGGGCTGGACATCAAACCCGGAGAACGCTCTAGTGCCCGGAAGATGGAGCGGGGCTTCGGCCCCCTCAGGCGGCGGGGAAGGGGCGTGCGCCTCTCGTCACTGTCCAGGACTCCGCCCGTTGCTGGGCGACCTGCAATCACTTCCGCGTTGTTCTGGCCAATCCGGCAAGGGTTCCAGCAATTGGCATTATGGGAAATATAGTCCAGGCCCTGCTGGCGCAGAAGGGGAGGCTTCCCTTGTCCGTGGCGCAGGCTGCCACCTCTTCTTGCGTTGGGGGCCTTGTGGAGAGTTCATGTCACTGATCAAAAAACATTCCAGAGTTTGCCATCACTCGGGCTGATTCACAAACTTCGTTATACATGTAAGCACAATGTTCTATAACCTGTAGAACTTACTTAAAACTGCACATTCCCATATCTCCTGGGTTCACAGTCTTGGAAAAGAGTCTTCCGGCCCATGCATGGTTACGATGAATAGCAGCTAATTATGGAGCACTTAAAGGGGAGTCTGGCCAAAAACACGCAGACTCTCTCTCACATACTCAACACCTCTGTAATGTGGGCACAACCCAGAAAGGGTCGTCACAGAAGCAGAGCCAGTGAATTCCTGGCAGTTGAGACCTCATTGCTGCCTTACAATTATTTACTCACCTGTGTAGTCAGGACTGCACTGACAACACACCACATTTAGTGCTTCTTTCTGTCACCAGCACTTGGTAAAATGCTTACATCTACACATTTATCAAATGAATTAAATCAGTACATGTAATTCCTTAGGTTTGGTTGTCTGTGAATCAGCCTAATTGAAAACGAACTTCCATCTTCACCAAGGAGACTGTTTCAAGTCCCCTTGAAGCACCAGCAAATATCCTACCAACGTCTTACGGGCAAACTTTGAAGCTTATCTTCAACTTGGCCTTGCCTAAGGAGTTTTCCAGAACATTCCCCTTCTAAAACTCACTCTTCAACCCCCAGTTACAGGCAAATACACTATCACTTCTCTGGCCTGGATCCCAGAAAATGCAAACCTCCATCCCAGAAAGTACATATTGTCATGGGCAGTGTGGGAGAGGGTCAGCTCTGCTTCTATCTTCAATTCCCGAAGTTGATTACTGCCTTGGATTCCTGCTCTGCGTGCTCTTTGGGGGAGGAACTTGCTTTTCTGAACCTGACCGATGAAAAGCATCTTTTAGTTGTAACAGGCCTACTATCCCATCTTGAAACTAACAGGCCTGTTCTCAGATCTGAATGCATTTAAATCTGCTACCATTAATCTGCTGCTCCTCTGTTCACCTCAATTGAGCCCCTTCCGTCTCAACTAATCTCACTTCCTCCTTTGTTAAGAGTAAGAAATTATGGGCGGCGCCAGCGGCTCAGTGGGTAGGGCACCGGCTCCATATAGGGAGGGTGGTGGGTTCGAACCGGCCTGGCCAAACTGCAACAAAAAATAGCCCAGTGCTGTGGCGGGCGCTTGTAGTCCCAGCTACTCGTGAAGCTGAGGCAAGAGAATCGCCTAAGTCCAAGAGCTGGAGGTTGCTGTGAGCTGTGACACCACAGCACTCTTACCAAGGGCAAAGAAGTGAGACTCTGCTTCTTAAAAAATAAAAAAAAAGAGAGAGAGAGGGAAATTAGGTCACAAAATCCCCAGATTGTGGGGAAGGGAAGCAGTGTGATCAAACTGATTAGCTTCAGTCTCTCCGATCATTACCTGTGCTTTGTTTTTTGCAATTTTGGACAGGGCGGGTTTGAACCCACCACCTCTGGTATACGGGGCTGGCACCCTACTCCTTTGAGCCACAGGCGCCTCCCCCTTACCTGTGCTTTGTTCAGTTTCTCAAGGACTATTGGGTTAAGTTCATCTTCGTTTGTCCTGGCCACAGTTTCTACAGGAACCTGTTCCCTGGACTTGGCCTTAAGCCATAGATAGTGATTATATGGTACGCCTCAATCTGAGTAGCAGTCCCCTGGCAGAGTTCTAAACTTCTGGGTCAACCCTCTGCTCTTCCTACAACTTTAGCAATTCCATGCTAGGCTTCTCCTGCAGTGGACACCAGGGTTTCTCAAGCTCAGCGTTACTGACATTTGGGGCCAGATAATTCTCTGTCGTGGTGCTGTCCTGTACAGCATAGGATGTTCAGCACTAGTATTTCTGGGCCTCTGCCCACTAGATGCCAATAGTGTCTCCATCTCCCAATCGTAAAAACCAAAACTATCTCCAGAGATTGCCAGTTTGGGCCCCAGTTGAAAATTTACACTGACAGTAAGTCAGTAAATTACTAGTGCATAGATCGAGTGAGTTATGAGATTTATTCAAGGCACTGAAGAGCCCACTTCTATTGGAAGGCTAGTCACAGGGGGTCCTGGGACTCTGCTAGCTGCAGCACAGACTCTGATTGCTGAGTTCTGTAGCACTATCTGTGCACCAGTCTCTGAAATTCCTAACCCATCTATATGTCAGAGACCAGGGCTGCAGAAATCTGATCTCATTTTTTTTCCTCTCTTCCTACATTTTACTTGCTGAGCTCTCTCAGGTTAAAGCAGTAAGACTTATAGGAATTGGGGGACCTTTAAAGGTTCACATGCCAGATTTTAGGGTTTGCCATCTTTGGCCTCACACACTATTTTAATCAAGTTCATTTGAACACAAGAAGTGGAGACTCATTGAAGAACAAAAATTTATGGCCGCAGTGCATGTTCGGAACTAGAATGTTACTAGAAATAACATATGAGGCAGATTTTTTTTCTTCTTATGGTTTGTCTCTTTCCCTCCAACCTCCCCCCCACCCCAGGCTACAATTTCTACTCGCCACTCAATGTCTTTCTCTACTCATAGTTTCTGGCTCCCTAGACTTTAACGTAGACTTTACTCTTATAAGGATCTGTCAGTAGGCAAACCCTGTTAAACTTGGTTAATAAAATGATAACAGGTTAAAGGAGCCTTAAGTTTTTAAGTGAGCCAAGAGCCTCAAAACAAAACCCTCTGAAAGCCTCAAGAGCGGTTTGCTTTTGCATAGACAACTGAATCACATTGATTATTAAAAGAGTAAAGCAAGAAAACAAACATGTGGTTCCAGAACTGAACACCAGATGGCGCTCTCTGCCCATCGTTTTAAAGGCTAATGCTCAATTCCCAACAATGACTTGGCTAAATGTGAACTTTCTTTCCTTTTTGATTGATCATGTCTATAATTACTGACCATTTAGGACTATAAAATTGATCAGGTTTGGTCAAACCCAATTTGGCTCAAAAGAAATGCATACAGTAGGCACCAGGTTCCAGAGTCACATCTCTGTAGTTCATGATCATTGCCATGAAGATGGCCAGTTCCCTGCCCCTCCACCCTCACGCACACAAACACCCCAACGACTCTGCAAACCCCATTTCACTTAAATCACCATTCTTTGGGAACCTGATGTTTTGATGCCAAATTAAATATGCTAATGAGATCTGGAAAGCTTTCTGGATTGTCTAATATTTCTCATGGGGTGGTAACCAATTATGAAGGATATTGAACAGGATTCTTAGATAAAGGCCTCCTAGTCAATGTGCCCTTATTTAGGAAGAAGTGGTTGTATGTCACTTACTAATTCAAACACATAATGAGTGAAAAAAAATGTACTCTGTCTCTGGAACAACGCCACCAACAACAACAACAAAAAAAAAAAAAAAAACAGAGGACAGTCCCTTATATCTAGAAATCACTGGTAATTAGGATAAGATTAACAGTCACCCAAAGAACTATGGCTTTTAGGGTTCTAAAAGAAGTTCAAACCAACACCTAATGATATACAGAGACAGAAGAAAGTTTCACTGTTAGAGTTCCCTGTAACTTACCTTTGGAACCCAACCAATGGCACAGTCAGTGTGACAACGGCCAACCTCCCTTCATTTCATTGTCTGAAAAATAAAAATAGAGGTGCCTACCTCACAGAGGTGTAAGTGAGTCCACCCATGTCATTAACCTATCTGCCAGGGTCTGATCAGGTAAATAGGCCAGTATTTCAAAATTTGGAATTTAATGGAGGGAATTCATTGTACAGGGCTTGGAAGATAAATGTGGGCTGAAGAGGCAGGAGTAGGAATACATTTCCACAATCCTGGCTGGAGGCAACTTGAAGAAGAACTATTACAGACGCCAGAGAGCCAAACACAAGCAGGGGACTGTTCCCCAGGGACTGGACTCTGGAGAAAGGGCAGTTGCTTCAGGAAAACCCTGCAGAAGTTATTGTAGAGGGAAGACAGGCTGCCTCCTCTTCTGGTCTCCTGCCGGGAGTTCTCATTGGATGAACCCACCTGGAAACCAGAGGGCTTAGGCTCCCAGGAAGCATCTGGTCTACAGAAGGAAGACAGGGAATGGATCCACAGGCAGCAGGACACAGGCACCAACCAGCATCACTGCTCAGGGCACTCTGCTCATTGACTATAGCTACTGGAACCCAGGGTGGGTTGAGGGGAGGAAGCAGCAGGATCACTCTGAGTCTCTTAGGTAGGGTGACCATATAACTTCATCTAATAAGCTGAGAGACTTTGGAGAGACAGAGTGTGCTATTAAGAATTGCTGTGGGTTTAGGCACGGTGGCTCATGACTTCATGCCTGAAATCCCAGCACTTTGGGAGGCTCAGATGAGAGGATCACTTGAGCCTAGGAGTTTAAGGTTGCAGTAAGTTATGATGATGCCATTGCACCCTAACTCCAGCTACAGAGTTAAGAAAATAAAATAATTGCTTTGTGACACACCTCTGGGAGAAGGAGCCGGCATGCTCCTCTTTGAACTCCTCAAGGATTTTGGTCTTGAAGCCAAAGAAGTCTTTTAAGCAGGGGAGTGCCAATAGAATTTGCATTTTGAAGCCCTCCAGCAAGTGGGTGGAAAATGGGTTGGGAGGG